TATATATATATATATATATATACATACAGTATATATATACATACAGTATATATAGTTTCATCTAATCAATAAATAACTACTGCAGAACAAATGAACACTTTAACCACTAACATTTATTTATCATCACTTACATAATCAATGGCAATCTTATGATTACTTTAAGTTGTTAATAATTAGTACAAGTTTAAGGAAATGGCTTTTTAAATTCTGTTTTCAGTACTAATCCTGTTGTCAATTTTTCTGGCATTGCTCTGATACTCTTATTTGTATTCATTTAATTTTTACACATAATCACTACTTAAATGAAGAGTTGTCAGCTTAAGTCCACACTTCTCACTGAATCACGAGAGCATCACATAGACTGTAAAATTTCGAGTCGTGAGCCAAACCCCAAATGCCAAAACATTGTAACTTTAGAAATTTATTTATTTGGATGTACCTCACAGAAATGTATGGTTCTATGTGTCTCCTACCACAGATTTCTTTTGTATATCTCTCCTAACCATTATGAATGGTGACAAGATTCTGTACATTATGATTAGGTTTTGTAAGTATCATAGTACTACATCTTTCTAAAGGAATGAATAGCTATTTAGAACAGTATTCTAAAGTCAATATCATGGTCACAAATAATGACTCAAGTGTTACCAAATCCATCAGAAGGAATTACTATCCAAAACCTTGTTTCTTGTCAGTTCATAGCTGTTAGAATGTTAATATTGCATTACTCATTTGTTCCTGTGTATTCATTAATGATGGAATAGTATTCTAATGTTAAAATACTTGCTCCAAACCCACTGCATAAGTGACAATTGTGTTTGATGACACTAGTGGAGCAGAAATGACACTTAACACGTAACATTGCATGTATATTTTGTTGACTTTTACAAAGAAGCTTAGATTTGAGTGATTCAATTTTTGTTTTAGGAGATGCTGTCTGAGCTCAGCTGCAAAAAACAGAAGAGGAACTTGTATTCAACTTTTGGCTGGTTGAGTCTACACTTTCTTGTATGGTCCATTTGCCTGCTTTGCATAGCTGCCTGCATGCTGGCTGTTTACTACTTACAGCCTTACATTGACCAGGACAGTTCCACGGTAAGGGTCTGGTCATAGTGTTGAATAGACAACAGGAAGGCAACAGGATGCTTAACACTTAAGAAAGCACACCGTTCATGATAGAAAATACCAGTCACATCCTGTTCAGTTCACACACCAGTTATTTTTGCTGCCTCATTACAATGCAAACAGCTTTATTTTCAAAGGTAACTAATTGCTACTCCTTAGGGAATGTAATGCATTATGTTACTTTTGTGTTACTTTTTTAATCTGGGCGGGGCTTACTTGCTTGTTTGTTTTTAATATAAAAAAGTTCTATTTTTGGCAAATGTAAAAAGCCCTTTCACACCAAAAGTGAAATTAATAGAAAAAGTATACAGAGCAGCTCAATCAAGCCTTTCAGTTGTGCTTCCATTCTGGATTGCATAAAGAATAGGACGCAGAAGAAGAAAGTTCAACACTCTTTAGCAATAAAAAAAATAAAAAAACACACAACCAAAACAAAACAAAACAAATGTTATGTTTACCTAAAGTCATTTTTGCTAGTATGGTTGAATTGGATCACCGAACATCAGCAGCAAAGATATTGGTTAATAAAATGGGATTAAATACATAAAGGATATTTGTGTTATTATGATACATTTGTCATATTCTGATACATCATATTGCATTTCACGGTTTTTATTCATTTTGAGGAATACTAAATCTGTTTTTGTGCAAGTGAGATGAGTAAATGCATGTTCAACATTTAGTGAAGCGCTATCATGTTACACAGTGCACACAACGCCTCTGCATTTACTCCTGATTTCTCTCAACAAGATAGGAGAGCTGTCAGTCAATAAATGGGAAAACAGTAACTGGCATTACTTATTTGAAAAAAGTAACTCAAGATATTTTCCTGTAAAATAAAAAGTAATGCATTAATTTACTAGTTACTTGAAAAAGTAATCTGATTACATAACTTGCATCTCCACAACTTACTAGTGATATAGTAGGATAATGTACTTAGTTACACAGGAAGAAGTAAATAAGTTACAAAGGTGTACCTTAATGGCGCTTTTCCACTGCGTGGTACGACTCGGCTCGAACAGACAACGAAACAGCCACTTTTTGGTTGTTAAAAAAGGTGCGCTTGTTCAAAACAGTTGCGTTCGATCCTTCGCTGGCTGTGCTGATTTAAATCTAGCGGTTCTGTTGTGTTTGTGTTGCAAGTTCAGTGACGCAGGTGGTGACAAATCTCTCCGGCCAATCCGTGATCAGCAGAGTTTACACGTCACGTTTTGGTAACGGTACGGTTCACTTGGAACCTCAACCGAGGTGGTACTAAAAAAAGTACCAGGTACTGTACCCAGTGGAAAACCCCCCAAAAGTGAGCCGTACCGTGCCGTACCATGCAGTGGAAAAGCGCCATTAGAAAACCCAACCCAGTGAGAATGTGCATTAGTTAATCAAATTTATTGTAAATTGGTAAATGGTTAATTTGACCAGTTAATTGATAAAGAAAATCTATTTATGACATTATTTTTGACAGCATCCTCATTTTACAGCAGCTTTTAACAGTACTGTAGCTTTGCAGGTAGGTTTCTTGAAGCATCCTGGAGACATTAGCCCCTTTCACACAGTAATACCAGTAAATTGCCGTAAAATTACCAGAACGACTTTACCGGTAAATACAAAAATGCTCTGTTCACACAGGCAACAACGTTCCGTCTTTTTACCGGTAAAGCACCATTCACACATTGGTTTCAAATTACCGCTAAATTCTGTGACATCATTAACCAAATGACCTCTTAACGGCTGCACCTCCCGGTGTTGTGTTTGTAAACATGGAGGGGATAAATGCGGTCAGTGTTTTTGTTGATGTTTTCATTTTTGTATCAAATGTTCACATTCATGCAGCGCTTTTGGCCCAGAGACATCACATTACATGACTGCAAATCAAACCAAAGACTATAGAATACCCAAGATGTGTCACTGAATGGGGAAAAACGCAACACTCAATATGGCCGCTCTATCAAAGGAAGCCCCGCCTTCTGAGCAAAAGAGCCAATCGCTAATCGGTAAAGTCATTGCGTCACTGCAGCTGCCGTTAAAAGTCCCGGTTGCTAACAGTCAGCGTCTGAGACGTGTGCCTAGGACTGCGCATGGGCACTGGCTGGTCTAGCCTGAGAAATAGCTTTTTATAACAACTTTTATGAGACATTTGTTGTCAGATTTCATCGGTGATTTCAAACATGAAATTTTATCATAAGCTTGGTGAACAGTTTTGGAGAATTTGATGTTTCCCCATTCAAAGAGATAGGAGCTGCACTTGCATGGCCAAGAGGCGTTTCAAAGATGGCCGCCGAGTGACATGACTTGCCTTAAAGGGACTTTGATCAAACTACACAGCGCAGAGTAAATGCGTCATCTGCGTCAGAATGTTATGATTGGCCCAGAGCCGTTGAAGTTATGTCAGCGCATTCTGAACTCATATGCGCTCATATCGGTAATCTTCATTCTGCGTTCACACACAGCATCATTCCGGCAATTTACTGGTAATGTTACAACTTCTCATACTGGTAAATTGCCGGAACAAATCTACCAGTATTTTTTTGAAAAGGTCTTGTTCAGACATGATCTCTTAACGGTAATTTACTGGTAATTTTCCAGTAAAGTCTGTATGTGTGAAAGGGGCTATTGTCACAGTTCTTCTGGATTAAGTCTGTCTCAGTTTGTTCTGTTTCTTCATGTCATTCCAGACAGACTGGGTGATGATCAGATCAGATCTCTGTGTGGAACACAAAAATCTCACTGGATTAGTACAATTAATGCCAAAATGAGTGTTTGGAAATGTAAACTGATATTTCCTACTGACACAATAGACTAGAGCAATGGATAGAAATAACTGACTTAAAACCATTTTTTAGCTGGTGAAAATACTAGTGTTCTAATAATTTTAGCCACCACTGTATGTTTTTTCTTCTTTATGGTAATTCTTTATGCATTTCTGTAAATTCTTGTTTCTTTGTCCTTCCTTTAGAACTAAAATACAATACATTATTTGATATATTGTGTGTTTATGTCTTTATATATGTAGGCGAACTCTGTTCAGAAAGCTGTTGATTTGCTGAAACTGCCTTTGGTCGTGTCTTGCATCAGTCATCTACTGCCTGGTTTCTTCGACATGTTATCCAGGGTAGAGCATTACGACTCCCCGAGCACTCCGATTTATGTGTCCATTGTAAGGTCAGGGAAGTTATCAATTTATTTATTTTTCTTCTCATCTGTTCACTTATTTATTCACTTCCTGTCTAATTCTGCTGTGAGCTAAGCTCCGTTTCCTTTCATTGCAGCAGGAAGCAACTTTAACATGCTTCATTTGATTGCCTTTGAATTGATGCTTTAAATATTTTCTGCTCACTAGTGTGACATTTTAATTTAGCATGACTCTTATCTTGAGAAATACCCTAAACCTTCAGAGACATTGTTTGTCTGTTTTAATAGCAAGAAAATTAGCCAACCAAACCATTACATTGCATCATTTAATAAATGTGTGCATATATAACACAAGCAGTTTTTTATTTACTCTTATATTATGCAATTCATACAGACATGGTGATATAATATGATGTCATGTATATAAATATATGAGTTATATACACTCTCATGACTGTGTATCAAGGTCAGTAAGTAGAGTATCTGATAATTTGACTTTTTTATGACATATCAAGATGATGAGATTCTCACATTTCGAATAACCCTTCAAACCCCATATTTATGATATCTGTAAGAAAGTTTGTTACCTAAACAATTTGGTAACACTTTAGTATAGGGACCAATTCTCACTATTAACTTTTTGCTTATTAGCATGCCTATTATTAACATATTGGCTGTTTATTAGTACTTATAAAGCACATATTCTGCATGACCATATTCTACATCCCTAATCCTACCCAATGTCTGAACTTAACAGCTGCCTTACTAACTATTAATAAGCAGCAAATTAGGAGATTTTTGTGGCAATGGTTTGTTAATAGCGAGAATTGGATCTTAAAATAAAGTGTGACCAAAAAGTTATTCAAATTGATAATTTAAGAGCATGAATACAGAGATTACATGTAAAAGATTCTTTTCGCATGCATTTGAAATTAGATTTCTAAAAAATGCTTTTTTTTTTAAATCATTTTGCACATTCTTGTTGCATGACCATATTCTACATCCCTAATCCTACCCAATGTCTGAACTTAACAGCTGCCTTACTAACTATTAATAAGCAGCAAATTAGGAGATTTTTGTGGCAATGGTTTGTTAATAGCGAGAATTGGATCTTAAAATAAAGTGTGACCAAAAAGTTATTCAAATTGATAATTTAAGAGCATGAATACAGAGATTACATGTAAAAGATTCTTTTCGCATGCATTTGAAATTAGATTTCTAAAAAATGCTTTTTTAAAAAAATCATTTTGCACATTCTTGTTTTCCATTTAAATATATATCACTAATAACAAATAACATATCTGTGCATTTCCTAGTTTTAGTTTAGAAATACCCATGCATTTCCAGTTAAGTTTGTTGTAACATAAGACTGTTTGTTATAAATAGAATCAAATTTCCAAGTCACTGAGTGCTCATCAAAGACATTTCAGTTTCTTCTTTCACAGGAACCTGTTGTTGAAGGGTTGCATTTTTAGTGTATTGTGTTACTACTGGCTCAAGAAAATTTCTGGCGGGAAGAATGGACAAAATACACAGCAGGTGACCAAAAACATGAAACCTGACCTTTTTTATTAAAAAATGCATAGACAGTATGTTATTACATTGACACAATAATAACAAAACAATATTAAGCACCCAGTCCTTACAGGTTGTTGATTGGTTGTATGAGAACATTAGAACTTAATTACAAATAATTAAAAAATACTCTAAAAAGAAATATCGTCTATATGAGTTTATGAGTTGAATATGAAATGAGGCAGGCTTGTTTTTATTTGTGCTTACTTGCAGTGCTGGGAGACATTGGTTGGTCAAGAGCTTTACCGTTTGGTTTTAATGGATCTGCTATTTGCGATGTCGTACATCGTCTTGGCAGAGTTTCTGTGGGGGTAAGTTCTCACATTTCCATATGATAGCAGTGATGTTTAGGAGGGATGTGTTGACTCGTTCTGCCCCTTCAGGCTGTGTATTAGAAACGTCACATTAAGAAGAAGGAAACTAGAGTTTGACATCGCACGAGATGTTCTGGAGCTCATCTACGGTCAAACACTTGTGTGGTATTGTCATCTCCTCCACATGAAGATACATTACATTGTGTTCTGACAGCTTGTCACTAACAGTATTTTCCGTTTCTCTTCATAGGTTTGGTGTTCTGTTTTCACCACTGTTGCCTGCAGTTCAAATTGGGAAACTGTTTCTACTGTTCTACTTCAAAAAGGTCAAGATCTTCGTAGTCCTTTTAGGCTTCATTGGGTGGAAGGTGCATGGAGGATAGAAGATCGAGTTTAATGCTTTAAATGTAAAAGTGTAGTTCCCCCAGAAATGAAAGTCTGTCATCATTTACTTACCATCATGCTGTTCTTAGAGCACAAAAAGGAGAAGATATTTGCTGAATGTATGTGCTTAGGATAGTGAATTGGAATTCTGGAATACTGCCAAGCACCAAAAAGACTAAAAGTGGATTATGTATTTCAGGTTTTGTGAAGAGATACAAGAGCTTTGTGAGAAGCAACTGAAAAATTAAGTTATTTACTCGCATCAAATTTTTCAAACTTGTCATGTCATAATCGTTCACATGACATTCAAGAATCAATGGCATCAATGACATTAAACCTGGTGCAACACATTTAAAGGTAGTTTACTACTATTATTTAATTAGACACAAGAATGATTGAGCTTTGAGAACACCAGTGGATGGGGACATTATGTGAATGACAACCTTCATTTTAATCTGTTCCTCACACAAAGCTATTGTATGGCTCCGAAGACTTGTAATATAGCAAGTTATATGAGCTTCCTTTATAGTGTTTTTTTTAAACTTTGAGAAAAAAAAAGATGCAAAAAAACCTTTACCTTAAGAGGTACCGCATTGACTATTTTGTACCGTATCTACCCTTAAATGGTTCATAGTACACTGTAAAATCCAATAGTTTACCTTACTTAGATTTAGTTAGTTATCTTTACTTAGTTGTTATACTTACTAGGTTTTATTAAGTTACAGCTACTTTCAAGGCAAATAAAACAATTTACTTACTGTTTTGAGTGACACTTACTTAAAATATTCAAGTAGCCTCAAAGGAACCAATGACATTAATAAAGCAGTGAGAGGCAGCCGTGCACTAATATATTGCTAATGTGCAACATAACAACAGAAGAAGAAGAAAAGAAAGAGTCTTAATAGACTTTTCACCCATTTCTTCCATGTCTGCAGTCATCTTTCACTGGTTGCATTCACTCGTTTCCCAAACACTTTGAACTTGGTTTACGTTACTATAATTTCCTTCCTATTAATGCAGCAATGCATCATGAAGTCAGAGTTATTTGATTTCAAAAGAAGAAAAGTAATAAATAGGTTGTTTTTAGAAGGTGACTTATCTTTGTTTTTTCAAGGCAATCGGTTTGCATGCTTTTTTTAAGTAAGCCCAACTAATTAGATTTTACAGTGTAGTACCTTAAGGGTACATATTACTATATTACAACTTTAGTGTACTAATATGCACCTTTTGGGGTGGATAAGGTACAAGGTTGTCCATCCAAGGGTGATCTGGGAGAGTATAACTTTCCTTAACCTTTCATCATCCAGTTTGGAAGTATGAAACAGAAAATAATACAGGGTAAAAAAGAAAACAATACAGGGTTGTAATGACATGATGTCAGAAGTTTCACAAATGAGAAATGTTCCTTTTGCTGCAATGTACTGTAGACAAAGACATTGTGTCTTTAACTGTATAATAATTCATTTCAGATGTTAATTTATATTATCCAGGGTCAATTACCTACATATGTTTGTCACCCCCTTTACAGACGAGTTTGATGATGAACTTTCAACCACCCAGGAAACACTGGAGGGCCACTCAGATGAGCACATTCTTCATTAAACTCCTGTTTTTCCCCTCCTTCACTGGGGCCCTTGCATGTGTCATTTATACAATGTGGAGGTTTGTCTCTTCATATACATTCACATTCTCCAGAATACTGCCGACGGAGGACCAAATCTGGCAAAATCAGAAATAAATAATGTATTAACACACACCCCAGAGCTTCCTCTCTACAAGGTGGTCTATAATACTAGTTAAAAAAAAGTCAATTTGATGGGATAGTTAAAGAGATAGCTGTCTCAAAAATAATTCTCATATTGTTCCAAATTTTTATTTTTTTTGAGTGGAACACAAAACATGTTTCAGCAGGTGGTCCTCCATAGGAAATTTCACATGCACACACACTCATTGTTTGTCTTGACAAAGCAAATTATGTAAATGATGTAAAGTCATTAAAGTGCAAGTGTGTTTTTTTAGGGTCGAGCCCTCATCAGATTGTGGGCCCTTCAGTAACCTCCGCAGCATGCTTCTCTTAGGCAAGAAGTGGATCAGTGGCCTGGGCAAGTCGAATCCCAGTATGTTGTGGCTCAGCTGGGCTTATAATAACTTGGTGGACAACCCTTTGTTCCTCTTCATCACTGCAGGCCTGTTCCTGTGAGTACTCCTCGCTCATGGGAATGTTGGGTGCAGTATGGATATGGGTCATTTTAACAGTCATCTCTGTCTTTTTCCAGCGCCATTATATACATTCACATGCAAGTTTTGGATGGCCAAAAGATGATCATTGCTAGGTTACAAGAGCAAATAGACAATGTGAGTATTGTGAGCCTTGTGGAAAAGTACGCTACCATATTTACAAAGAATGTACTTAAGTGTGAACTTAAAGCGATAGTTCACCCAAAAATGACAATTACCCCATGATTTACTCACCCTCGTATATGACTTTCCTCTTTCAGACGAATGCAATCGGAGGTATATTAAAAAAATGTCTTGGCTCCTCCAAGCTTTATAATAGCAGTGAATGGTGGTTGACATTTTGAAACCCAAAAAGCGCATCCATCCATCATAAAAACTACTCCACACGGCTCCGGGGAGTTAATATAGGCTCCCTGAAGCGAAGTGATGCATTTGTGTTAGAAAAATATCCATAATATATACAAATTTATAAACTCTATAATATCTAGCTTCCACTAACTGTCGTATGCGCGTTCACGAGAGAGTGGCGTTCCAGCAAATGACGTAGAATGTAGGCATAGCGAAAATATTGTTTTGCCCATATAATAAACATAATGAGGTTGATTAAGCAAGAATAGCATCCCAACTAGATTTTACATTTCTGCAGAAAAAGCGACAGACACACACACACACACACCAACCTACCCACATATGTGGTTCATGGGGACTCTCCATAGGCGTAATGGTTTTTATTCTGAGCATATCCAATTTTCTATCCCCTATCGGAAAACCTTTGGCAGTTTTTGAATTTCAAAAAACACTTTTTAGTATGTTTTTAAGTCATTTGGTTTACGAGAACACACTCTTCTCAACGAGTCGTGTGATTTGAGGTGTCACACATGGTTTGGGATCATTAATGCCTTCATAAGCATGACAAATTACAGTATCTGGTTTTGACAGCCTGTTGATTTCTTGGTATAATCTCATCTGGCTTCTTAGGAGGGTGAAGATAAGAAGTTCCTTATAGCTAAACTGCAGGCCCTCAATGAGGCAGGTGCTCAGCAGTAAGGTGAGCTTTCAGTCTGTCATTTTAACTAGAAATACTCACTTTACTTTCTTTTGTGCATTCAGGATGTTTGATGTTCAGATAAATTAATGTTTGACAGATGAAGACAAATTCCACACCTTTCAACTTGCAGTGGTTGATTTCCTTCTTGTGAACAGGGCTGTGTTTCCACCTGCTGATTACTTGTTTTATCCAGGAAGGCTGAATTCTACAGAAATGAATTTGGAAGAATGCATTGTGGTAACCCCTTCAAAAATCATACCTGAGAAACCGGTTCATCTTATATAGAACTCGGACAACAGCTGCTTTTTTTTTGGAGACAAATGACACTGATATTTAGTAGTGTTATTGTCCATTTAGTCATATAACATTTTTTGAAATGTAAATGAAAAGGTTTATTTTTGCTTATGGAAACGTTTTTGTCTGTCAGTTCTTTGTGGAACTGCTAAAAAGCTGTATTTTTGTATGCTTGAGGATGTGATGATAATTTTAAATATTTAGAGAAGAGTTGTATAGTGCAGTTGTACAGTGTTTCTTGCGACATGTTAATGATGAGATTGACTTCAGTTTATCTATCTGCTGTGGTTTGATCATTTGAAATCAATCGATAAATGCAACATATCTGTTACATGCATGCTCTGTGTGGTTTGACCTAGTTTTTCCCAGTCTGCTTAATTAGTCATTCAGTTCACCTGTTGTCTGATTATCTCATTAGTTTCCCTTTGTTTGGTTCCTGCTTATAAACCCTATGTTCTCCTTCAGTATTTGTCCGTTCTCGTCTACACTTTGTGAGTCTCCTGTTGTGTTCCTGTGGAGTTATCTATTAAAGACTGTTATTGTTAATTCTCCTTTGTCGAGCACTTTACTCACAACAACCAATCGTGACAATCTGTAAATGGCAATTATTTGTGAATAACTGCTGTTATTTTTAATTGCTATTCTTTATCACACACAACTCTGTGAAATACCTGTCTGATTTGTCAAATGCAGCATTACATGATCATATTTTTTTTAATACTGTATAATCTTTCCACAGTGCTAATGTCTTTTGAATGATTGTTAAATCAATTTTGTGATAGAGGTCAGCTGACTGAACATAACTCCGTATTTTTATTGGTGTAGGGCTATTTCCATTGGACAAAGACTGCTAAGGTCCTTTAATAGGACATTGTAATGTACAATATGTGAGGCTACAGATTTTATCTGAACCTGTCAGACTGAAATCTGAAGATTTGTGGTCACATGCTGCTGACCAGAGCTCAGAATCCCATGACGTTCTGCATTCTTTGGGAGGAGTTTCTTTTATCTGTCTGACATCCTCCTTATAAAGGAGCTGTAAGGAGCTACTTTGGCTCATTTGGCTCCCGACATCACATCACATCAACTGCACAGTCATTCAGTCACCTGAAGAAGGTATGTGCACTGCAGTGTGTTTCTTTTCCTCTTGTAGTTTAGCCTTTTTTTTTTATTTTTATTTTTTTACATTTTCTACATCTGTTAATCATTAAATGAACTGTTTAATTCTGTTGGTTTTGTATAATTGCTTGTCTTATGGTTCTTTGTAATCCTAGAATGGCTGGTCCAGTCATTGTATATTCTACTCATTCTGTATAGGCCCTGTAAAAATGATAATTGTTATTATAAAATGAAATTATTTCAGTCTTTATACTTTAAAATTACACATTTAATTCAATGTGTATCTTGTCTCTTTGTAATTGTTTGTGAAATTTACTAGTGAAAATTGTTTCAAAGTAAATCCTGCCATTTATTTTTTTTTCAATGTAGAGTTTATTCAACAATGGAGTCCTCACGACGTTTATACATCCACATACCAGATGAATATGAAGAATTTCAAATATCTGGTGAATGGGTAAGCTGACTAATTGTTGCACTGTTACAATGTCGGAAATTAACTTTCCTGCCATGCAGGAATTGATTTTTCAGGGTCATTTAATACCAAATACATAAATATTATTAATTGTTTCTAATAAATTCTTAATTCGAATGGCTGTTAGTTATAAAATTAAATCAACAGAAGAAAACTGGGTATAAATATTCCATCATAATAGAATAAAACAAAACATATCACAGCTTGAATGTGCAAAATGACTGACAGGTAGAAAGAGGCTCAAAGTCATCGGATTGGCTTATCAAAGAAACAAACCACAATCCCATTTGTTTTGCAGTTGCCAGAAGCTTTAGACAGGTTTGATCATTTAGGACAGCAAAATCAGTGCTGCTTGTCAGGAAATATTATCTGAGTGCCATTTCACAAACAGTCACTTACAGCGCCTTTAATTGCCACTGGCTTTCAATCTGTTTTAGGCACAGACCGAGTTTGAGGTTTTGCCTGAGACGCTGCTATAGGCTCCAGAATCCCTGTGACGCCAGACATACCACACGAGATTTGGAGAATGAATGGATGGATATGATTTGTATGTGATTTGATTTATGTCTTGTCTACCTTTCTTAGGACCATGGGATTGTTGTTAGAGATTTGAATCCATATTTGACAGACCGTGAGCTTCACAACTACTTTGAAAAATTTGGGACAATTACAGAATGTGTAGTAAGTACTTTTATAATTGAAAGCTTTTAACAGGGCAGATATATGTTATATGGAATGTTAATGCTGAGTCTAAATCAACTTCTATCTCATTTAAGTAGTTGGTGGGATGATTTATGTTGCTTTAGTAAAACAGACCAAATTTATTGTCCTGCTTTTAACCTTCTTTTTAGCAAATTTTAAAGTAGTTGAGTTAAAAAAAAAAAAACATCTCAGTATGTTAGGTCAAACATTTAACCCAGTCAACCTAGCGCTGAGTTTGTCCATTTTTGACCCAGTGCTGGGTTGCCAAAATGACTCACATTGGGTTGTTTTCAACCCAAAATTTTATAGTGTACTTAGATGACTTCATATTTGTGATGATCTTTACTGTTAACTTTTACTCCTCTTGTAATTTGAGAACTTTTCTCAATGAACAGTTTACAATTGACAAGTCATCAGGATGGCCAAAGGGTGTGGGCTTTGTGAGATACTCATCTGCAGAGGAGGCTAAAGCAGCAGAAGAAGCTGGGCCACACTGCCTTGGAGGTTTTCACTTATGGATCAACAAAGTTGTTACACCAAAAGTGAGTCAATCTGTTGTTTGTAGCAAGAAGGCCTATAATTCCTGTTTAAAAGACCAGCTTAGACTTCCATGCTGGTATGGATTGGCTCATGCTGGTTTGGTGCGGCTCATGAAGGTGACCCAGCATAGTCATGTCCTTCACCAGAAAAATGGTCCTTCTGATTAATCTGTGGTGTGTTTTCCAAGAGCAGCTATGGTTGCGTGTTTTGTCTTTACCAATAGAGTCCAATGGAACTTAGTTGGCTAACGATGCTTTGGGGAAACACACCCCAGGTTGACCAAAGGAAGCTTGTGATTGACTGAAGGTGTGGTCACATTTACTGTTGCTCTGCGAAATTTTGCGTGCGAGTTTTGCTCATATTCGGGTTGGTCACATGAATTCGCTGTTAAACCTGTTTGTTTTTAAAGTGGCTTATGTGTGAGCTGTGTTTTTTACATCTCTACACTATTGAGAAGAGACAGTGGACCTTTCATTGCATGCAAAAGTTCGCTGCAACTTCGCTAATGTGATCGCACCCTACAAGGCCTGGTAGGGACACCAGCATCCCATGTCAAGGACCAGCATCCAAAACACAACATACACTGATGACTAACAGGGCTTGTCTTTTCAACAGGATTCCTCTAGAAATCTATTCAATAACATCCATTTATTTTGATATGGCAGTTGCTCGGTTTGGGACTTTTGTGTAAATTCTTGTACTACAGACCTCATTTTATGCTTTGGAATGGAGCAGCACACCATGAACCCAGTTACATATGCCTCTCTCTCTCTCTCTCTCTCTCTCTCTCCCTCTCTCTCTTTTAGATGGCTGCCCAGAACAGATTTGACAATCAGTTAAATAGTCTTCCATGCCAATCCTTTCAAACAGACCTGTGCGTGAATTAGAAGTGGGATATAGGAGCACCGACAGTTACTGGCTGGAATGATTTACACTAAACCTCATCCTACCACAATGTGAACTAAAATGTTTTTGCATGATAATCCAGTGTATATGGTTACATTTTCTACCTAGCATTAAAACCCTGTTTGTTCTAATGTAACATTAAAACCTTGATTGATTTAATGTCTGTATCCTGTAAATGATCACTTTTATGTGTATACCTGAAATGTTGAATACATTTATTCTCCGAGCAGCTCTTATTGATGTTTATTGAAAGTTTTGTTTTTCTTAAGGATTATCTTCAGCTTTTACAACAGAGAGCTTAAGTAGACTTTTTAGGCTCAACTAATCTGAATTGACTTTACAGCTAGATTCAGCAGTCTAATAATGAGAATGCTTGGGGAATAATAACAATTTTGAGTCAAAATTATTATTATTACTTTAATATGGAGTGTTCCTGTGGAAAATATCCTTTATTTTTATGTTTATTTACTCTGAATTGTTTACACTTTATTTTAAGGTCAAATTCCCGCTATTAACAAACCATTAACTATGACTTTTGTTTCAGTAAACTCCTAATTGGCTGCTTATTAATGGTCAGTAAGGTAGGCTAGTTGTTAAGTTTAGGTATTGGGTAGGATTAGGGATGTAGAATATGGTCATGCAGAATATGTACTTTATAAGTACTAATAAACAGCCAATATGCTAATAATAGGCATGCTAATAAGCAACTAGTTAATATTGAGAATTGGTCCCTATTACCTCTGAATTTGTAAACATTAAAATTAGAAATACTGTAGGAATAGACTACTCAAATTAGTTATTGCATAACTAAACTCGTTATTCTGCACATTGACATCAGTCAATAATATCTTTAAACTAAAATACCATGCTATTTGTTCGCATTCAAACTACGTGAAATCAGCAGGCTATCTACCATGATTACAAACTGTTTTCAATTTGTTCTCAAGAAAGCTTATATGTGGACCAAGGAGCTCTAAAATATAGACAATAAAAGATGTCAACATTCTAAGCTTAAATAACATTAACATATTTTGGCGATTAAAAGTACGCGAAATTTTCCATCAAAAATTTATTCTCCATAAACGCTTAAAGGGGTCATATGATGCGATTTCAAGTTTTCCTTTCTCTTTGGAGTGTTACAAGCTGATTGTGCATAGATAAGATCCCTGAAGTTGCAAAGACTAAAGTCTCAAAACCAAAGAGATATTCTTTATCAAAGTTAAGACTCTGCCACGCCCCCCTAAAACGGCTCATTCTAACACGCCCCCACATATCTACCACACTATATGGAAATATTTGCATAATGCCACCCAAATGTTCACGCACAGAAAGAAGGCGTGGTTTCAGTAACCACAGTTAGTGTTGAAGCAGCATGTCAGGGAGACGCTGTGTGTTTAAGTGCGAAAGCAAAAGCACTTTATTTGGATCACTTACAACAGAACAGCAATGCATTTTATAGACGACCGTTTCGTGAACCTAGGAGAGGAGGTAATTCTGACTTTGCTATGACAATCTGGCGCTTCTGAATCAGCTACTGTTTTGTTATTAGTTTAAGTATTTGCTATTGACTGTTCAAATGCGGAGTTTTACGCATCGTGTGTGTGTGTGTGTGCATGTGTGTGCGAGCGAGCGAGACAGAGAGAGAGAGCGAGACACATCACAGTGGAGTCAGCTGTCTTAACCGTGGCTTGTGTACTGCAAACACATACCAGCTTCATCACTGTGTCTGTCACGCGACTCTGTTCCCCTTTCGGGCTCTGTCTTTACATTTATTTTGAAAGATGAAGCTCGCGATTATGGTAAGAGGCGTTACATTTCCGACGAGTGCTTGCGGTGTTCGGCCAATCACAATGCACTGGGTCAGCTGGCCAATCAGAGCAGACTGCGCTTGTCGGAAGGAGGGAAGGAGGGGGCTTTGTAGAAAACGAAGCGTTTGAGAGAGGCGGGGCATAGAGGACCTACAATAATGTACAGTATTTGAAAAATAATGTGTTTTTTGAACATTAAAGCATGTCAACATATTCTGTTACACCAAATACACAAAATAATGATCTTTAAAAAAGCATCATATGACCCCTTTAACAGCCATTCGTGTTGTCGTTGTGTATTAGTGCGCTAGAGGGCAGCAGCAGCCGTCTGTCCGATATGCCATTCAGCAAACGAAGAAGCCGATTCTTTTAGTACTGGAGCCCAGCGTGTCAGAATGGCGAACGCGGGAAATGAAGTCTTGTTTAAAAAGGTATAATTCAATACGTTTAACTGTTTACGTTTTCAACTCTTTAACAAGCAGTTCGTAATAAGATATCAAGTTGAACGTATTAGGAGGATCATTAGCGTTTTCATGATACGACGGCGTTACATCATTCCCATTTTTAAATATTAACCTTCTTATGTTTTTAAGGAAACTGTTGCCAAACTTTTGACACGCTTTTTCAAGGAGGACAAAACCAAAGGTGAGAGTTATTTTTGGGAAATAGTCAACCACACACAGGGTTCACAATATTATATTTGCTTCACTTGTCAATGTGTGGTTGAGAGAGGGAGAGGGAGGGGCGTTATTGCTCAAAGAAATTGTTGTGCATTTAAATGTTCTTTAGTCGTAAGTTTCTTGCTTACCTGTCAATTTCAAAACACACCATGATCTTGTTCTTCATGTACAGTATGTGGAAAATGTTTTTGTTTTTTTTACCTGAAACCGCATAAACACATTTCATTACACCAAATAATGTTCTTTTTAGCAACATCATATGACCCCTTTACTATCCTAATGATTTTTGGCATAAAAAAAAAAAATCTATAATTTTGACCCATACATTGTATTGTTGGCTATTGCTACAACTATACCCGTGCTACTTAAGACTGGTTTTGTGGTCCAGGGTCACAAATGATCTCAGATATTGTTTGTGGGTCCTTTTTTGGTAATTTGCCCTTTTGAGTCCCTTGACATTTGAACACCCAATGCATGGTGCATTCATATCATTTCAGAAAGATTGCATTTACAAGTTGAACACAGTTGAATTGGGGAAACTCAGAATTTTGGAAGCCCAGAGTTTCCAAGTTGGGGATGGTAAATTTGTTAAAATTAATTAAATGATTAATATTTTTTTTTCATTCACAATAAACCTTTCCAAGCTGCATGTATGCGATAGAATATGCAACAATTTAATTTACAGCACCTTTATAAATTTAATAAAAACATTACAAAATAGAAATACAGATGCATATTCTTTATTCATCTTTAGCTTTTCCGTTCACTTTAACTCAACTGAGTTTGGTTCATTTAAAGTGTCTTATTATACCACCCTTACAATATCGATCAGTACATGTGGTTTTGCATACATGTGTGAGGGTACGGATAAAGACAGAAACACAATTAAGAAAAAATGGTCAGCGAGATCAGGCAGCTGAACAGCATTCAGTTTTGAAGTTTTTCTTCCACAGTCAGCAGTGATGCTGTCATACTTGTAGCAGAGATGTTGAAAGTATTTGTTGAAGGTAAGGCAAACTTTACATATGTAGTCATTTTGTACTTTGTTACAGTACAGTGTAATATAATTTCCTTCAGTATTATTATGACAATTGTCTGTATGCTACAGAGGCGACACGCAGAGCCGTAAAACAGGCCGACAGTGAGGACTGTGACACTGTTGATATTGAACACTTTGAAAAGATTCTGCCACAACTGGTGAGTTTTATGTTTATGCATGTGCTTGATGTATCTGTGTTTTTTTTTTTTTGTGAGTTTTATTATTTTGATTACAAATAATTTATGGTCATGTTATTTGGCCCTCTGCTAAGAATTAATCTACTCAAATTGAATTTTTATATATTTATAAACATTTATATATTTATATTTCTAGAAACATTTACATATTAAATTATAGATTTTTTTTTTCCAAAGAAAAAGGATTTTGAAATGTTACACAATTCTGTGCTCTTTTGTCAGTTGTTTCTGTGCTTTTAATAAATCGTAAAATATTAGTTATTTTTCCGTCTCATTTTGTGTATTTTCTGTTCCATAGTGAAACTAATTTCTCACAGTGTATTAATATGAAATTTCCTTTGCAGCTTCTTGATTTTTAATTTTGCTGAGGAGCCAGCAGATGGCAACATAACCTAGTTCTGCTGAACATGAACATCCTGGACTTCACTTTGAATATTCGCACATGCTTCAATCTTTAGACTTTGTATTAAAATGTATTAGATGTATGACTGATTTAATAAAAAACTGTTATTTTATCAACAGTTATTTTACATGTCATTCAATTCTCATCAGGTTCTCTTAAACTTTCATATTGTTTAGCGTTTTAACAATGCGCCGCCAGCAGTTTTCTGTGACGATGGGCCGATTGGAATGCCTGCTGGGTAACAGTGCTGTTATTGCCTCCTGGTAAAGAGGTCTCGAGTCTCACCCCGTGGCTCTGTAGGCCACCTGTGCTCTGCTCAGCGGCAGGTGCTTCCAGCATGCTTTGCCCCGCTCCCCCATCAAAGCCTCTTGAAGCAGTTGGAATTGATTAAAGTAATAAGGGAGGCAGCAAAGACCCTTAGATGATGACAAGTGGCAGGAAAAAGAAGCACCCCCCTCCGGTCACTTTGAAGTTTCCCCCCTTCCCCTCGCTGTCCTGCAATGTGGTATAGTTGAAGGTGTCACGGAGGTGAGAGGGCACAGGGCGGAATGTGTGTGTGAGTCTCTGTGCGAGTGTGTGCGCGGAGAGAGTGTCAGCTTGTTAAAATTATTGCGACCACACGCATAGTAGTTCAGTTTTAGTGGAAGCATAACAAAACAAATTGGAACCAAAGAACATGACACAGGAAAAGAGGGGTGTAATTTTGAGTGTAAATAAACAAGACGTTGAGTCGCTCAAGGGGGCTCCCGGTCTTTCATCAAGGCAGAGAGAAAGCTTTTTGCTCTGATAATTGCACTCTTGGAGCTAGTCGAACCTGCCGCCAGTGAGTTTCCAGTTGTGATGTTAAGGGCTTTGCTTGAATGGGTTTGTTATTAGATAAGCAAAGCAAAAGGAAAGATCAACATGTTGTATTTTGTTAGATCATGTAGTTAAGGGCAATAGCAAAACATATTGCTTGTATGTTTGAAACAAAAGCTTATTTGCTTAATTTTTTTTTCAGGTCTGGAAAGTTAATTTAACCCTAGGAATTGCTGTTGTGTGTGTAATGTTCAGCTTTAAATAGTTCATAGGACATTGCAGTAACACTTTGCTTAAAGTCTATATGTATAATGCATTATAAAGGTATTCATAATGTGTGTTGTAATGCATTATATATTTACATAAAAAAATTTAACCAAAGTTAAAAGGCATAACATTTGAAGGTTTGTTTGTCTTGTGTTTTAATGCATTATAATTTTTTTTTACGTATAACAATGAATAAATTATAATGTGTTATAACTGTGGTTACAATTATTCATGAGATTATATAATGCATTACAAGGCATAAGTAACACATTAAAACTTTTTTAAATGCATTATATAAAGGCTTTAAGCAAAGTGTTACAGAAATCCAAATTTCATTTATCCATATGAAAATCATGGATGTCTGGTCAAAATGTGGGTGTCCTGTTCAATATTATTGTAATTTTTATTGAACATAAAAAATCATACACCTTTGAAGTTCACTGCAAACTTTGTAATTAAACTTTACTAGGCAAATAATGAATGCTTTGTGTCCACTGTAATTTCTTCTTTTTTAAAGCTGTTTTTGCATAGGAATTCATTTTCGTTTAAAAGCATTTCTACCTTCATAATCACCCATATTGTATTATCTGTTTTACGTTTATTCCAGTGAACATAGAAGATTTTGATCTTTTTTCTGTCTTTTGAGAAGGTTTGTCCAGCCTTTTTAGAAAGAAGCAGTTTTTACCCGATGCAAAATCCTTAGGTTGGAAACCATTAAAGGGGACCATCAGTATATATTTGGCATATTTACCATTTGTGAAAAGTCAATTTAATAGCAAAACATCTTTGTTTAATTACTTTGGGTGGTTCTGTCTTTCAAGAACAGCTTTGCTTATTTATATGAGTCATTGGGAGTTATTTCAAACAACTGATTATTGTAAAAGCCTTGGTGTTAATTATGCAGAATTAAAAACAAATTTCAGATTCCGTTACAGATTTTTGTCCAGCACCGCTCATCATTTGCAGCCATTTAATGCAGTCTTGATAATGATTATTGTTTAATGTTATGAAGTAACTAAATTCATTTAGATGTATCACTTTCAACATGTTAATGGTATACTTGTCTATTGTGAGCATATATTTCTAGCCTGTCCATTTTAGTTTTCTGTTTGGCATATATGATCATTGCAACTCCTTGTGCATCTTAGTGGAACAAATTACCTCTGAAGGCAGCATTATTAAACATTTGAAAGTAGTTAAGACAAGAGTGGAGGAGTGGGTTGAAAAGAATAATGAGTTAAAGCTTTTCTTGATCCTACATTAAAGACTGGGAGTGTCAACAGCCATTCCAGACGCTTTGGAGAAGCTCTGGAGCGCTGAGCACTTTCCCTGTGAGACAGAGACTGATCCGTCTCCAATTCGGCAGTAGAGCTTGGATGGGTCTACACATAAGTCAGCTTTCAGGTCTGTGGTTTGTGAGTAAGGCAGTGAATTAGATATGATGTTATGAAGGCAGGAGTTACTACGGCGTGGCATTCTGACTAGTAAGGAGATCAATCTTCTACAGTAGCTCCATGGGATTTCACCCCCCATATTTCCTTTGATGTATTAGTAAATCTCATTAAAGAGAACGTCTTTATCATTTTGTCATTTCTGCCAAAAAAACATTAACTCCTGGAATAGTTCCTGAAAGGAATGTTCCAGATTCAATATAAGTAAAGTTATATTGTGGTGGAGAAAAAATATGTAAATTGGGCTTGTTAATGAATTGATTACAACACAAAATCATCCATCTTAAGGGATAACTACTTGTTTAGGCAGGATTGTGTTACAATGAATAACTTGCCTTGTTTACCCACTTAACATGATCACAGCAATAAAGCTGAAAGATTTGCACTGACAGGGGTCTCATTAACTAATAAGTTGTATGCATACTGTACAAAAAAAGGAACGGATGCAATTTGTCAAAGAAATGACTAGATTAGGAAACAAGTTAGAGAACAGGAGAAATGTGGGTATATTTCTTCTGGAACGCTTTGCAATTTAGTTGTTTTTTTTATCCTTTATAAAACTCTAAAGAATCAGTCCATATTTAGTGTCATTGTTGTCTTTCAGAATGTCTCTTTGTATGTTCCACAAAAGAAATAAAGTCGAAAGTGTCTGGCACGAGATGACTGTTAGCAAATGATGATCATTTTCATTTTTGAACTGTTATTTTAATGTGTAACTTGTTGTTTTAATGCCAGTGTTGTAGTACAAGATCAGAATCCGACATAAGTCTGTCTAGAGTCTGAGTTCAAGGCAATATTTTCATGATCTTGGTCTTGTCATGTAGGGATGCACCGAATGTTCGGCAACTGAAATTAGCAAAAAAAAAGCTATTTCGGTGTTCGGCCAAATAAGCGAAAAGACAGAATAAATTGTAACAAACAATGACGTGATGCTATCAAATAGCAACCAGCGTAAAGTGAGAGGCATGCACTCTTTATAATGCAACAAACATGTCAGCAGTGTGGAAGCATTTATATTGTCCGAGAAAGACGCACAAATCATTACAAGCACGGACCGCGAGAGACCGTTTTGTACTGCATCACATGTCTTCGATGAGAAGAGCAAGGGGTGATTGTTGCTGGTTACTGTATGATGATTGAAATTGCGAAATGGCCTTAAACAATTAGTAAATAAACTGCAGAACGTTATGTTTTCTAATACATGCACAAATTGCATGTATTCAAACAGCCAGGGTTCAAAGTCCAAGGAGCAAGGAAAATCTGCACTGAAACAGTGTTACTTGTCAGTTGCTCAGTCACATTTTTATGAATTTTTTCAAGGCATGTGATAATGCAATACGTGCGACGTATTCGTAATGAGACTCATTTATAAATCTGCTGTCAACAAAAAGAAGCATTGCGGTCTTACTGCGCGTTTCCGCCAAAATAAAAGGTGACAAAAAGCAAGAACTCCAACAGAAATGGCCTTAAACAATTAGTAAATAAACTGCAGAACGTTATGTTTTCTAATACGAACGAACACACGAATTGCATGTAGCGTTGTACGAACTTGCGGAGTTGAGGCGGATCTGCTTGTTAACCAGGGTTCAAAGTCCAAAGCACAAGGAAAATCTGCACTGAAACAGTGTTACTTGTCAGTTGCTCAGTCACATTTTTATGAATTTTTTCAAGGCATGTGATGTTCAAATTGGGATCTGTAATATTTTGTAATGTTTTAAAAGAAGTCTCTTCTGCTCAGCAAGGCTGCTTTTAACTTTACAGTAAAAAAATACATGCCTGATTCAAGAAGGGGTCTGATCGCCAACAAATATTATTTTAGTAACATTAATTTTAAGTTAAATATTGCTTTGTTGGTATAATGTCTTCTAGAATGTTAAAAAATGTTTAGTGTTAAATATTTTAAATTGTTGTTTTGTAATTGATTTTTTTCAACTTGAAAAATTGAAAAACAAGACAAAACCGTAAAAAGCACATTTTGGCTATTTAATTTATGCAATGGTGAAACAAATTGTAAAAATACATGGGGAAAAAAAATTAACGATATATCGGTCGGGCTCTAACACACACATACACACTAACACACACACAAACACACACACACGAAATTGATTTTTTTCAACTTGAAAAATTGAAAAACAAGACAAAACCGTAAAAAGCACATTTTGGCTATTTAATTTATGCAATGGTGAAACAAATTGTAAAAATACATGGGGAAAAAAAATTGAAAAACCGTGTTCGGCCTTTGGCCCAGCGTTTCATTTTGGCACAGCGAATTTTCATTTCGGTGCATCCCTATTGTCATGGACTCTTGTGTGTGTTGAGGAGATTTGCTTGACAATGACATTCATCCCCAAAGGAAAGTGTATTTAGACTGTTTAATTCATTCAGACCCTCTTGAGGTCTCTGTCTTTACTTGGACTTGGTCTGGACTACAACTTTGACTAACACTAATGAACAATATTTGTAATTTGAGACCTTACTTCTAATAAGACAGTATTATTTATACCCCTTATTTTGA